TTCCGTATCGTAGGCTGGTTCTAGATATTCATTGGTAGTACAAAAATTGACTCCAAACAGTGACTTTCAAACGCTTCAAGTATGAAATGTTGACAAAAATGTGCTAAGAAAATTTCAATATGACGGATTTCCTCATTCAGAATTTTTGTTTTCCTTTGTCGCCCCTAAAATTGCATTGGATGCCTTTGTCACTCCTCTATTGATATGAAAACGACGGTCATTTCCTAAAATAGCGCAATGCTCTCATCCAATCTGTGTGAAAATGAAAATGACACCCGGTGGTGTGAGAACGCTAATGGCAATTCATTCAAACTAGATTGTTTCCATTAACATCGGAAACTACCTCCGAGTGTCACACGCACTATCACGAACAAAATTTACCTCAGGTGTTTGCCGGCAGTACCACACTCAGGGGACCACAGCCGTACTGAGACAGTAAACATTCAGACTTCAAACCGTCAGTATCTGTCTAACCAAGGACATCATCAACGTCCTTGATCTAGCGATCACTGAGTTCACGCAACTCTGACGTCTGTGAGTCATTATTAGCTTACAAGAGCCGGCTGGTAAGATTACATGCAGTGAAACCTCAGCTCTGTGTCGTGTACCCGTGCGTCGTGCCTCTGTATTCTCGCCCAGTATTCAAATCCCCTGGATTCTTTATAAAAAAGAACCCAATTTTTGGGCTGTGGAACGTAGAAGGAGCGTTGGTCAACCCAAAGGGGAGCTTGACTACAAACAGTAGCCACAATCTACAGGATCCTACCGAAAAAAAAAACAAGGAGCACAGGCCTTGTGCTGACAGACATTGAAGAAGCCTAAAGGGAAACCTTGCCACAGAGCTTGAGGTTTGAAACTCTCCGGGTCGAGGGAAAGACAGGACGAACCATGGCGGAACCAGAGGAAGTCCCAGAGATGACTGAGGAGGAGAGGCTGACGTTTGAAGTGAAGACGCTGAAGTATCAACTGGGGCAGAAGAGGATCATGATGTCGGAGTCCATACCTGAGTAAGCAGCTTGGCTTGTTTGTTTGTTTGTTTTCGTCGTATTAGATTAGGACGCAACACGCCGGTTTTGTAGTTGGTCGTGTAACAGGTAGCCACAGGTGTAAGAATTGGTACCTGACTTCGGTTGGGGAGGTAAAAGGTAGTAGAGGAAGTAGAGGTTTTGCTGCGCCCTACAATATCATGGCACTTGACACAAAACGACCGATTGCCCCTTAAAAGCCTACCACAGCCTATTTAATACAGGACCTCTCCTCGCATTGACACGTGTGGTGGCACCTGTTACGTACGGGCCTGTTCCCGGCCGCTGTTACGTCCTATCCGACACCATGTCCGTGCCCGAAGCTATATCGCAAAACGGCAACGTGTAGGTGTACTAGAACGCTCTGTCAACACCGTATTTCCAGACGTAAAGAATTTGGGTTTTAAGGTCAGGCTTTTGGACCAGGGTTCGAATCCGAGCTTGTTTTCAGTAATTTTAGACTCGTATCGTAGCTGTTTTAACAATTTCTATACTGTGTTCCACTGACACTATGTAAATGAGCGTGCATTTGGCTGCAAAATATGCTTCTTTGTGCAATATACTGAATCTGTACTCTTTTTATCACGAAATTGAATATGATTTTTCACGATGCACGATTTCCATTCTCAACATTCAATACAAAGGCCTATTGATGTAACGTGCTATCTTCCCCTTAACTGCTTTTTCCATTATTTGTTTTCAATCTCGGTGTACATATTTAATGATTAATCCTATTCTATAGGTACAGGGAGTATTAGTTTGAAAGCCTATTTCCTGCTGCACTTAAGCTAGATTAGGGATTTTGATTGTGATGTAAAGCGCTCGCGTGAAGCTCCCAACTTCAATTAGCCAGGTGATGATACGAGCGTGTAGCCTGTGTATAGTGTTTTCATGTGAGTCACATTGTACAAAAGACCAAAGGTACATGAAAAGCTGCGTCGTCTACGAAACTAGTTGCGTTGCGTTGTCTTCGCAAACAGCTTCGTTGCAGGTTGTACCTTTGGGCTTTCGTAATATATACCATCAATGGAGGCAGACCTAAGTACCTAATACCAGCTCAGAAGAGAACAAGAAATAGCCACGCATTCAAGTACCAGAGTTATCAACCAAGGATTGAGGTGTTCAAGAATTCATTCTTTCCTAGAACTATCGCAGAGTGGAACTCACTGTCACCAAGTACAGTAGGGGCACTGTCAATAGATAGCTTTAAACAATGTCTAGAGCTAGAAGTTCAAGGGTTAGGTGTAACAAGTCGATCGGTGTAATATAGCCAGCTGCCGCCGCGCCGCGTGCCTGCGAAGCTGGTGTGTTACGCCGAAAGGCGGTTATACCGGCTATACAGATACAGATACAGATACAGAGACGCAGCGGTTTTCCATTTCTGTGAATCGTATAGTTCAAGCGTTTTCAGTTATCGAGAGATCCTCTGGCCCTCTTAAATAACTTAGCTATGACAAGGCCTGCCATAAATGTTTTAAACTCAAACTATTTTTCTACATCCCCCAAATTAATGTTAGCAACCTGACTTTGGACTAGGCAACAGTTGCATTGTACAACAGCAACATTAATACTATTATTTTGATCCCTGAATGCAACAGCTGAGTCATATGCTGCATATATAAAATTTTCTAGAGGAAAAACGTCACGTAATTTAGGATCAGGCGTGTTATATCAGGATCCTCAAAACGAATCAAGTAAGTAAGACGATCAGATAAGGCAGGAAGAAGATTAGCACTAATCTCATAGTCTGTACCAGACTATATATAGGAGAATATTTGCCAAAGGAGCTTAGCCTGGATGCCAGACACACAGTACACTAGGGCTAAATCTATCTAGTGTGAACACTGGATAACTTTACATGTGTTTTGGAACCAACGGGAGAGTATACATGTTTTTGATATAGTATTTCTATGTGTTACCACATACATTTTCTGTAGTATTTAAAGTACCTTCCTCACAAGTGGTTTGCGTCTCCTTCCCAGCTTGATCAAGTTCGTGGAAGAACGCATGAAGACGGACTACATGCTGCACCCTCCTCCCAAGTCCAAGAACCCCTGGGCAGAGAAAAGCAAGTGTGTCTTACTCTGACGTCACAGACACACCGGTTACCACTGACGTCACAAAAGGCATCGCTCTCAGTCGGATTATAGGACCAGGTCGCAAAATTGGGGATATGCTAAGCCTTTTTTTTTCAAATTTAGGCCATGTTGATTTTTTTTCATATTCCAACATGTGATCACAAGACGTGGTGACGGCACACTTTAAATGTAGGCAAGTTTGGTATCAACAATATATCCTGCGTCCAATATATGGTTAGGTCAAAATAAAAAAAATATTTCTTTTAGTTTCATACACGAAGGCTGAACCCTAAGTAATAGGTTGATCCTGGCTTATTTAGACAAGTTATGCAAATCAAGGATATAGCCTACTAGGTTCTGTAGATTGCCGAGAAGCGTCACTCTTTGTTGGTGGTATACAGGTCGGTGTAAATGAGGGTATCCCTAGGATATTTGAGTGAGTGTACTGCAGAAGTCAGCTGTTTTGCTACGGAAAAGGCCGTTATAGATTTTTGTCTGACTGCTTGAAAATTCTGCGATATCACGATGGCGCGATGATCTACGACGAATGTGACCACGCCATTAGTCAGTTAAGTAACTTGTCGTAGTTTGCAAGACACAACAACTAACGTGACGTTTTAGTCATCAAAAGTCGAAATATTTCCAGAATAGTCCTGCAAAGTAGATATGAAATGTCGGAGCCTTGTTTTTTTCACGATTAACTTGATACATGTATAATACATTCGAATGAAAGCTCATCTGTGTCAACTTGGTAGAATCAATAGTTATAGAGTTTAAGCTTTCTTTCAACACAAGAAAGGACCTCATCATGAATTTTCAAGCGATCTCGTCGACCTTCATACAATACAGTACATGTACAAATGTATTTCAATCTTTTGTTATCATGAAGTATGCCGGGAGGTGTGTGTGTGTGTATGATGTGCGTGTGTATGTGTGTGTGTGCGTGTGTGTGTGTGTATGATGTGCGTGTGTGTGTGTGTGTGTGCGTGTGTGTGTGTTTTGTTTCTATATTCCTTCCACTGATTCATCTACCAGTATTTTCTACTTGTCATTTTGACAATAACATTTTTTTTTCAATAACCAGTATTTTGAAAAGGGAAAATGTTTACACAACAGTACTAACAAAAAGGCAACACATACCACAAAACGCTCCGGGAGAGAGAAAAATGTGGTTGCTATTTATATTAAAGAGTGTTACTAGGATTTTTGATTGATACATAAACTATAATTGACAAATAACTACGGACTATCAAAGACCAAAACATTGCACAGTTACAGCACAAGTTACAAAGGAACAGAAATACCCCCTTTGTAACCTACGCATGTAGTTGTCAACATTTCTTTGCATAAAGTTTTTATCTTCACCTTTTTTAGATTTAATATGCTTAATACGCTTTAAAATTTATATGCTTAATTCTTTTGTGAACGATAGATTTATTGCTAACGTTGTGTCCTTTGGAAATGCATGCGCACTTTATATAATCGAACACAGTTAGGGTTCTGAATTGCACACAATTTTACCGATCGACATCGGATCAAATCAAACTATCTGTTGGAAACACTGCTACCGACGTCACAGCATAGAAAATTGCTGATATTGTGCTAATACATACATTATAATACACCAGGTCCTATAATATGCTAACAAGAACGTTCTACATAGAACATCCTTGATACTAGTGATGTAAGATAAAACAAATGCTACTTTCTAATTCTATCTATCTATATGCAGCATTCTGCCGACTTATGTCTTGTATACATGTACTTTGAAGACTTAGCTTCAAATTATGAACAAATAAACAAACAAGACTTATTAAGCAAAGACCCAAGGGGTCAACTCGGCCAATTGATATGTTCAAGTTTTAGCCACACAGTTCTACGAATTGTGAATAAAATTTTACCACTTCAGTTCACTGAAGCCACGGTTTATTTTTGGAATCATTTCTGTGGAAAAATGTCTTTCCATCTTCGGTCTGTTTCTTTTTCCCTTGGACGAAGTGTCTTTGACCTTCTTGGCTGCCTCTGATGCCGCCTCCTTTAAGAATGAAGCAAACCTAAGATCGTACGGATTTGTCGCCATGTCTTCGTTTTCATACACATCGAAAAGGATCACCATAAAAATGCTCAACAAAATAAACTGCATCACAACCTGGTACAAAAAGAACGCCAACGGACCAAGTATTCTATGCCCGGAGGACAGGGCTTCAAAGTCAAAACTACCTAGCATCATAAGCAAAAGACTTTGTAGAGTAGAACTTAAGCTCTTATACTCATTGCTACTTGCACCTTGGGTCAAAGTCATCAGTAGGATGAAAGCCATCAAAATGATAGCTACAGTAAACATGAAGTTAGTGATTGGTTTAAGTGATTTTCCCATGATGACAGACAAGGCGTGTACGTGAGAGTTGAAGCGAAGAAGGCGGATAAACTTTAAGGTGGCGAAGCTGATGAGAAGCCCCTGTAGGTAGGTAGAGACTTGTAGCCAGCTGACGGCGCTTTTGTACAGTTGGAAGGCTGAGTTGCCGTTTTTGCGCTGTTCTGCCACCTCGTCTATGATGTTCTGTGTGTGGAAGTAGATCCCGAGTGTGGAGAAACCGACGGTGATGACCAGCAGTTCCACCCAGCTCCAGAACTCACACAGATACTCCAGCGGCCGAGACAACAGTGACTTCCCTAGAGCACATTAAAAATACAAGGCAATCAGAGACAGCAGATTCAACCACCCTCATGAAGTGCCCTCTGGCAGGCTACATAGGAACTGCACCACAAAAAGGACTAGCCTGGTGACCATCCTACTCTAACTTTTGGCTCCTCCGATGGCTAGGTTTTAGCCTGGGTAAAATGAGTCGTTGGTGGGAGCGACTGTGGGAGCGGACATAAACTAACCAGGATGGTACCCAGGCTAGCTAAGTTTCTTGCAGTATACTATACTCTGTGGCAAAACTATCAGAAAAGTTGATTGGAGTTAGACTAGGATCGACGCCAGGCTATAGAAACACAGACACACACACAAGCCATTAACAATACAGTACTGAATATTTACCTCACCATATTCATCTGTGGTGAAGTAATGATTCATATAGTATTTATCGGTAAGATTTACAATTCTTGTGTTTTTTTTCTTTAAAGTAAGGAAGCAGTAAGCAAAATCATCTAGTTGGCAGAGAAAAATCTTTGAATCGCCCTTACCTTCGTGAAGAACGAAGTAGAAAAGAAACAGAGCCAGTACCCCTCTCAGCAGGAGAAGCAACATGGCGTCGTGTTGAATGAGGCGCACGGTTATGACCTCTGAACTCTTGTAAGCTGATCCGAGATTGGTGAACTCAACGACCAATGAGACGACCGAAAACAAGTTCACGTGTGGGTTGTACAGGATGAGCTCTATAAAAAGTGCCCGGGTATTTTGGTCCAACCAGTTTTGCTGTTTAAGGAAGGTAGCCTCGTTTGTTGTCCCGAGCCGGGTAACATAGCCACCGCCAATGTAGGAGCCATGCCCTCCGATGTACGGAAAATCTGTGAACAAATGGAACAAAATTAATCAGTTACGTCAAGCACAAACATTGCTCATAGTCCTGTACAAGCCAATACAAGCCTGGCGGAGACTTTTTCCCATCTGGGTTTGGAATCCAGGACAAGAGATACAAAAGCTAGAAGTTCTGCAGTACCTAGAAAAGCTACTACGTGACAAGAAACTCTTGTTAGTTGAAGACCTTTTTTATCAGAACATGTTAAATTTCTGTTGTGCAATTAACAACAATTACTACAAAAAATTCTACCAGGAAGTTAAAAAAACATTTTTGGTGAATAGCTAGCCTGGTGTCCAGCCTTGTAAGCTTTTTAGTCAGCTCCCCAAGATCCGCTCCCTGCCAACGGCTGGATACCAGACGAAAGAATAGCACATGACAGGAGATTACATTATATCAAATTGTTCAATGTGAAAAAATGAAGGAACTCTAACCGTCAGTTAGTGAAACAGAGGTGTGTGTCCATGGGCTTGTGTTACCATCGCAGTCGTATAACCCAGGAAATCTCTTAGTGTTGGGAGAATCGCAAACATGGCCGTGATAAGTCGAGTTGTCTGTCGTGTTGAGTGGAGCCCATCCTGAGGTGTAGTTCTGTGTGTCTGCCAGACTGAGGGAGAACGGCACACTACAGCGTGTTGTCACATTCAGCATTGGTTTGGGTGTTTCACAGTGTCGCCCTATGAAATAAAAATTGTACAATCTTACAAAGATTTAAAACTTTACATTGTATTACATACACACAAGTAAGTTGTGCTTATCAACAAGTTTTTGGTCTCTTATCAACATGTTTTCCCTTCTGAAGTTAAAATGACCCAAGTCACATGGCAGAGTAACATCAACAAAAGGTCAAAGGTGTCCGACAAGTAGTATCGGCACCGATTGCATACTGAAAAATTTTAATCTAGACAAAAGTGACTGTGATTGAGTTAGTACCAAAAAGCAGTTATGATTTTAGAAACAGACGTTTCAGGTAGCATCCACTACGTTTCGTCAGTGGCACTTAAGAGTTTACAGTATGGTTATATTACAAAACATTACAGTGCTACATAAATATAAAATGTATTTTTGTTTATTAGGCCCCAGGATCATTAAAAGACCATGAAAATCATTGAAATAATACTGTAAGACTTAATAGGAGATCATGGAAAGTTCATTTGAAACTATGAAAATCATCAAGCTTCTTTCCTTCAAGTTATTTCATCAGATCTCACCTGGTGAAAGCCGCACCTGTCGAAGCTGTACCAGACCGAGTGGGTAGGAGACCATGTCAGGCAGTACCGCGGTGTCTGGAGCCCCCCTGCCGTTGTACCAGCTCACCGCATGCAGGGCAGGCAGCAACCCAGTTGTTATCCAGCTCCAACATGACAGGATGTCATGGATCTGACATAGAGATATTATAGCTAGAGATTATTTTGCAGAGAAAATATTCATTCTTGTATATTGCATACTGTTCAAATTTCAAATGTATGGCACAAAATATACGACACTTTTGTAGATTGGTCCGCCCACTGTAAGGGGGCCTCCTTCTGGCAGGACAGCTCTTAGTAGTCTTTTTTTACATTCATCCGTACATAGTTTGATGTTTTTTAAAGGTGTGATTGTGCCGTGTTATGTGTCATGTTAATATGTGTATAACATTACTATGGGACTTTGAACTTGAAATAAACAATAAACTGTAAACTGATAGAATTGCAACTGTAACTATAGACCAAGCAACTAATGAACACAAAATAACCTTATGTAGCTACAAAACGATGTTGATATGTGATAAATAAAGTTATGCAAAACAAATGAAACAATATAACAAAGACGTTTTGAAAGCACAAGTCTAAATACGTATTACATGAATTACCTCAGAGAATACAACATCACCGGCACCAAGAATTTGCCTCTCCACATTCTGAGTCATGTAGAATGCCATGGGGCTTCTCTCCCTGTAGGAGGCCGCCATGATGATGATGATGAAGAACCCGAACATGAGGACCTCCAGGACAGCGGCGCGCTGTTTGCCCTTCTCTGCGTTCTTCCGTCGCTGATCGGCCAGACTGGATTCGTCTGGTGGGGAGTTGGAATGGCCGGAATCGGGAATCTACCGTAACAAATGCAACTGCCTGAATTCCTCCACATACCACCCACTGTCAAAATCACCTCCCTCCCTCCACGTAACCACCTCTTGGACAAGCAAACACACAAACCTACAACTCAGTCACCCAAACAATACTTCCATGCATGGCAGTATTGAGCTGGATTTAAATGTCAGGGCAATCTGTATAAGGTCGAGAAAAAAAATGTTGTTTCCTGTTTCAGTCCTGAAAAAATAGGTAGGTAGGGGTTTTATCTTTTCTTTCTTCTTTTCATTAGACTTTGCTGATCTCTGGTGATCCAACTTATACGATACAGTTTAAAAAAAGTAAAACTTGCATGAGCACACTTCTACTTTCAATGTTGGAAAACGTTTTATCACTCAAGTGTCATGGAGCTATAGAAAAGGTCGGTCAGCTAAAAAATTCATATCCCTTGCAGGGGTCCACACAAAATAGGCTAGGGTCAGCAGTTTTTTCCAGGGTCGGTTGCGAAACAGAAAACACAATATTTTTCTCTTAGACCTCATCTAGATTGCAGGAATAAATCTTAACCTTGTCCTTTATGATATTCTATAGATGCATGTGAGGGACATACGCACTTGTATGTTTTGTACCCCGAGAGTTGCCGGCCCCTCCCTCCAGATGTAATGCCTCCATCCTAAAGCTGACCTCCACATTTTGGATGTGCAGTAAGTTTTCATCATCTGAAAGAAAATAAATAAAAATAGTCCTGACCGAATCTAGAGTTAGCCGTGATAAGGTAAAGCTAGACACATCAAATAAAGTAAGAGGCTGTAAAATAAAATAAAACACAATAAGAGAAAGGAAGACACTATAACATATAATAAGGCACCATAATGGTAAAATGAAACAAAATTCAATAACTTGAAGGCATCCAATGCGATTTCAGGGCAGCAAAATATTCTGGATAAGACAATCTTTGTGATAGTGACACATACTGCTTCACATTTAGCACATTAAAATAAGCATTTCATACTTCAGTGTGGATAGTGTGGTTTCAACTCAGAATGTAGATAAATGACAACATTGGGTTTCAAAGCACTAAAAACTGCATTGGATGCCTTTAACAAACATTATAAGATAAAGCAAAAGCCAGTAAGCCACTACAAGATAAAGCTATACAGTACTAGATACATCAAGATTATAAAGATGACGCACCATTTCACTGGAGTCGCCTTGCTCTTCTCTGGACGCAGTCTGCAGAAATTCCTCATCAGACTGTAGAGGTTCTGTTGGTGGATCATCCTCTTCTACTGGTTTCTGTTTTAGATTTAAACATCATCAATTAAACATCATGGCATGAAGAAGCAGTATTATATCAGCCAGAGACAGAGATGGCAGACTTTATCATTAGCATAAGCGCCCTCTGGCAGAACACAATGGAATGACATCTAGACTGTTTTATATCTAGCACATCACTGAAGGCCTTTCAAACGTGCCTTTAGTTTGCAAGTCATCTTAAGTCAATGTTTTTTTGCCTCACTGAAATTGCCATTCGTAAGTGAAAGGTAAATAGTGCAACAGTTGAATTTCAAATAAACAAACTAGAAAGGTAACTTTTAAAAAGTAAATGCAGAATGTTTACCTTCACATGGTCTAGCCTAATACACTACTGACCTATTATTACTCAAACATATCTATATACTAATACATGGTGACCAGCCCCTCCAGCTCTGTCCTACTACATACATGTAATGCAACCCGACACCACAGGGTGTCTGCTACAGCACCAGTTACCATGGTGACAAACTCTGCTCCAGGTCGACTGTTACTCCAGGTATTTGGAAATAAAGAGGAAGAAGAGACAGAGCGAGCAAAAAAATATGTTTTACTTCTGTAAAAGTTACAAGGTAATACGATACCTTCGATATCAAAGAAAAAATGACGGCCACTATGATGAGCTTGAAGGGCTGCATGAGGAACAGGTCGGTGACAAACGACGTGAGAAAGGCACAGAGCCACGCCTCCGCCTTCGCACGCCCGAAACTCAGGCTGTACAGGACGGTGAAGAACGCAGCCACGAAACTCGCCGACCAGACAAGCAACCAGCCTACAGGGAACAATAAAGAGGAAATCATTTCATTTATTTGTATCAATAAAAAGACAGAAATTAATCAACAAATATGAAAAAAGGAAAAAAAAACAGTCTGCAGGAGGAGGAAAGAAGCCTGTAATGCCTTTCTCTTGAAACTTAGGAAATCATGAAACTTAATACAAAGGCGATGTCCTTGGTACTGAAAAGGTCGTCTCTAACTGCCATGTATGTATAGTGTATTCTGTTGTTTTACTACTAGTGGTAGTGACACATAATAGGTTAACTAAATAAAACCTAACAGAACAAAACTGATTCAGATCGGTGTATAAGCGAACGCAATGCTAAAGTGACAAAAATCTAAAATGATACGAAGGTGATATATGCTAGAAATCAATACACGTGAAAATTTACACAGATGAATACACTGTAAGTATATGCTGCTGTAAGGGTGATGCAAAAAGAGCAAGTCAATCCAGTCCAAAAATCAAGTCCTAATTGTGATTTTCCTTGCAGGAAGAGTGTTCTGAAGTTATCATGAAAGTCTATTTGTGTTGGTAGTAACCATAGTGTGATGCTCAACTTTATTTAAACACAAGGGTACACAAGGATCAAATTTTCAACCACCAGGACAGATACATGTAAATAATCAAAGGTATATTATTAGATACAATGTAAATAAGCAGCCTTGAAATACCACATCCTTTAAACACTGCCATTTCGTTAGGAAACAGTTGAAAAGAGCAGCACAATATCTGCACATACCTATGTAAACAGTCCACCAGGGCAATGATGATTTGGTATTGTCACGACTCTTCTTCTTTTCCGTTTGGTTTGTCACCCGCGGACCAGAGTTACAGAACAGGAAGACTATGAGCACATTCACCGGCAGGATTATGGCTGCAGTCTGTATGCCAATCATGATCTGAAATCATATAAAAAAAGTTATGTAATTAATGTATATAGTAATTATTGTAATGACTTCAGACAACCTTTGACCCTTTGCTGACGTCACACGTGGGAAAAATCACGTGTCTACAGCATTTCGGTCAGATAGCTGAGGAAGACTGAGTGATTCAGTTGAAAATTCCGGTGAGTAAAAACATTTATGAGTTGGAGAACAGTTTAATTTTTTCATAATGTAGTTTACCAACTCAGATGAACTTTCATGCTGTGATTTATGTATGTATTGCTCTAGATTCAAAGTGTACATAGTCAGGGAGAGCATGAGTTGCAATTTTGTCGCAATTTTTAACAACAATTGCAAAGACAAGTAATAAAAAATACACATGTATCTTCTATTTAGGAAGAACATTTATAAGCAGTAGTTCTTAAACATAAAGCAGAAAGTGAAGCTTCCTCCTTTGATGGACTCAAATCTCTCAGAGCTTGGAAAGGTGTCACCCTGTATCCAGAAACGTGATTTAACCGAAGCCAAGCTCATTCACGGTTCTGGACAGTCCATGCATAAGTGAACCAAGCCTGGGGTAAATCTACATTATTGAATAGGCGGAGACAATCCAGAACCATGCCTGATCCTACCCCTAACCCATTCAGGAATAGAAATAGATCATGGATACAATAGTGGCTTACTTGCAGTGTACAAAGGCAATGTCCTTGGTACTGAAAATGCGGTCCCTAACAATAACAGCTATGTATCTAGTGTATTCTCTTTTACCTCCATGGTGTATTCTGTTGTTTCTTTGTAACAGTGGTAATGAATGAATTAACCACTGAATGAATGAAAAACTTCATGAATGAAAGAGTGAGTGAATAAATATGTGAATGATTGAATGAATGAGTGAATGATTGAATGTCAATAAATGAATTAACGAATTAACGATTGATATTCTAGTAATCAGTTCTGACGATTGGCCAGTTTTGATATGTGATATCTAATAAGCATTTACTCTAGAAATGTGTAATGCGTAAAAAGATGTTTTTATATAGCTCAAAAGTACAAGCCTGTATGTATTTTATTTCAAGAGGCTTTCCTGTATGGAGGAATAAAGAACGGAAATGAATGAATGAATGAATGAATGAATGAATGAATGAATGAATGAATGAATGAATGAATGAATGAATGACCTGTGGTAGTGAGACGGGTGGGTTGATCTCTGTCCCGGCGAATCTGAGTGGTTCTGGCGGGTCGAAGTCGTCCCCGCGGCCGAAGAACATGATGTTGGTAAGCATGGTGCTGTAGAGCAGCGTCAGGCAGCAGGACAGGCGCTGGACTCGGGTGAACGGGCTGCGTGCCGGGCGGCCAGCCACGGAGAACCACAGGTGGCCGTCGTTCATGTCCCTGGACATACAGGAAATGGTAATCTTGGGAATCTTATGTGGGGTCATGTGGCGTAAATGAGAGATTTCAGAACCAAGAGGTCCGGGGTTCGGACCCTGCCATGCCACCGATCTTGTGGCCTTCGGAAAGGAACTTTACAAAAATTTCCCCCACTCAACTCAAGTGAAAGTGAGTACATGAAAATGTATATCTGTTGTCCGTGCATTTGTCTGCATTGGTGGCAGCATAAAAATAAGTTAAGAAAACTTGAGTGTGCCGTCGCCATGTATTGTGATAAATGTTGGAATAGAAAAAAAATCACCCACTCTTTATCTTGTGTTTTGGTTGAAACAAAAAGAAACAAATTTCTCTCTAATGGTTCCCTACAAAAGGTGTTATTAAAATGTGTTTTAGGGAAACTTTATTACATCTTACCACGACCTTTGACATACTTGATGATGTAACACGTGCATAAAATCACGTGTCCTTGGCAATTGTATGGTATTAATATGGTACCTTGCACTTTTTGCCAGAAACAAGTTGCGAAACTTTTGCAAGTCCTCTGGCACTGCTCTTGGGATGATCCGCTGGACTTTTCCGTCATCTTTCTCCACAGAAAGCCATCTTCAGTGAAAGAAAGAACTGTTACAACACTTATTTCTCTAACATAATATGTAACCTTGACTTTCAGCTTAGCCAACTTTCCATTGCATGCTTCATCAGTAAATTGCTTTGAGAAAAAGATGCTTCCCAAACCATACCGGATCAGATGCACAACTTGCAACAGTCTCTTCGCTGGAAAACATGCCCTCACCGTGCCAGTCTCTAGAACTCACTTCACTGGCAGAACTTTCATACATACTGCAGTACACATCTGGAACAGTCTCTCAGACAACGTGGTCGGCCTGATCACTGACAACAACCTCTAGTCATTAAAAACAAGAGTACACCGGCATCTTCTTTCCACTATCAGGATTTCTACATATAGCTAGAACCTTGCAGTTGCAGCTGTAAACTAATGATTAGCTTTACAAACCATATCCTTTCTCGGTGTTAGGAACTCACCTATTGCACAGGAAATAGGTAGAGTTGTTCCCTGCTCTGTTTGTCACCACAATCTGGCTCAAAAACCTGTGAAAAACATAATTTATTATTTATTATAAAAAAGTGTGCTAAAAGAGTATAATCCATAACTTTCAAAAGTGTAGCCTCCCTATATGATGTATTTCTGGGATGAAAATCTGTAGTGTTCTAAGCATTTTCAACAAATATTGTCCTTTTTAAGAAATATTGTCCATTATGCATGCATTGTCATATGTCAATATGTGGTACTATGTAAATTTGCGATTTGATTCCACAGATTTACACAAGTTGATTTAGTACGTAGAGGAAGCAACACTGTAGACTATCTTGGACAATTGCCTGATCCTAGTCTTAACCCATTCAGACATAAAAATAGAAAGGCACGGTTCTGGATAAAACACTTAAACCATCCACCAGGACTGTTACTAACCACTGGTTGATGTGCCAGTTCTGAAACCCACACAAACCCACAGACAACCCACCCAAAACAATACTTCCATACACAGAAGTAACAAACATAAACAACGCTATAGACATCCGGAACTGTACTGGTTGTAACAATGTGCCACACTAGCAAATGGGTTAGTTCTAAAAAAAACCACACAAACCCACAAACATTACCCACCCAAAACAATACTTCCGTACACAGAAGTAACAGACATACATTGTACATGTAAACAAAACTATAGCCATCCAGAACTGTACTCCTGGTTGTAACAATGTACCACACTAGCAGATGGGTGAGTTCTCCAACCCACACAAACCCACAAACATTACCCACCCAAAACAATACTTCCGTACACAGAAGTAACAGACATAAACATCACTACAGACTATCCATCCGGGGCTGTTGTGCCACACTAGCATGTGGGTGAGTTCTCCAACACACACAAACCCACAGACAACCCACCCAAAACAATACTTCCATACACAGAGGTAACAGACAGAAACAACATAGACTAATCATCCAGGGCTGTACCCCTGGTTGCTGTGCCACACTAGCAGATGGGTTGGTTCTCCAACACACACAAACCCACAGACAACCCACCCAAAACAATACTTCCATACACAGAGGTAACAGACAAAAACAACATAGACTAATCATCCAGGGCTGTACCCCTGGTTGCTGTGCCACACTAGCAGATGGGTTGGTTCTCCAACACACACAAACCCACAGACAACCCACCCAAAACAATACTTTCATACACAGAAGTAACAGACGGAAACAACACAGTAGACTAACCATCTGGGGCTGCTTCACCTCTGGTTGCTGTGCCACACTAACAGATGGGTTAGTTCTCAAACCCACACAAACCCACAGACAACCTACCCAACCTTCTGTACACAGAAGTAACAGACTGAAACAATAATAGACTAACCATCCGGGGCTGTACCCCTGGTTGCTGTGCCACACCAGCACATGAGTCAGCTCTCCCAGTGGTTCTTCTGTCGACACCAGAAAGGAGTCCACGCTGCCCTTCTCAAACAGAACCCGCCGTGGGTCACGCAGTCTGAACGGGACGCTCTCCTTCTGAAGCCCATTCAGGACTATTGTTACCTAAGAAAAACAAATTTGTACACGTTTCAACTTAGGTCCACACAAAGACCTCGTAACCAAAGTAAAGAATGGAAACTGAAATGGTATGGCCACCTGTCACAGTCGTCGGGACTAGACAAAACTATAATGCAAGGAACACAGGGAGGAAGAAAGGGGGGGGGGTTAAGGCAAAGTAAAAGATGGGAGAATAACTTTAGAAAATGGACCAGCAGTACACTTATTGAAAAATGTTAAAGAGGACAGAAAACTACATGTAAGACGGGTGGAGAAACCTGGTTGTCGGATCTGTTGTGGGTAATACTAACAGTCAAATAATCAGACTAAAGGTTTGATAAGATAAAGATGATTATTTGAAGAGATGATTATTTGCCCAAACTGAGAACAACATGGCATTGAACATACAACCTATAGAGCTCTAGAGGCAAGTCAGTTTTCTAATGCATGTCTCTGTGTGTAAACGAATTTACGTCAGCAGTACGTACTGCACCAATGCGAAACCTGTATTGTGCATAGCACTTTGCTGGAACATCTCATATAAGGTCGTATCCGAGCATATAAGGTTACCATTTCCTTAGTCTATAATTTCCAAATTTTATGTCGGAAAAGATATCCTTGCAACAGAAAATATCCATTGGCAATGAAAACCATGAAAAATCAGGGTTTTGCACAGGCTCAGTACATTCTGCCAACGTGCTAGTTACCTCTGCAGTTGTCCCAGCATTCCCCCTGAAGCCTGTGTACACAGTGATGACATACTGACAGTCTTTCTGTGGGTTCAGGACATGACCGGGAAGCAGTCCAACCCCTGCCTAAATAGATATATTATATAACATTCATCATTTCTCTGAAAATGTCATTTACTCATTGCTTTGAAAAACAAAACTGCTACTCCCCAGAGTAAGGGTTTATGCTTTTATTTATTTGACATGTTTTAAGCAATTTCATTTGGCTTTCCTGTTTTGTAAAGAAGTTTTTTTTACACCGTCATTTATTTTTGTTAGTATTTCTGATGGTAATGAACATTATAAAACTATACACTATCAAGTGTATCAAATACAGGGCTCACTTTTGGGAATAGGTGCACCATATAAAACAATCTTACACAACGAAAACTTTATTGTTTTCTGACATTTAGATGTCAGGAATATACAGTAGTGTATACTAGCATATACTAGTGTATACTAGTATAGAATCTATAAAGATATCTTGACTACGAAAATAATTGGGTGCACTGATAGACTCATAAAAACAAATTGGGTGCATAACTCCAATTTTGCAACAAGTAGTTTGAGCCCTGAAATACCAACCTTCAGTAAGTCCCTTCTATCTGCCTTTCTCGTCAGCAGTACACCGAACAGGTAAGCAGCGAACACGGAGAGAACCAGGACCAGTCCTGCGGGATTCTCCAGTACGTTAGCAGACAGAGCCGCTTGGATGTTGAGAGGGTTCGGCGGAACGAATCCCGCAAACTTGGTCAGGTGGTCACAGCGACAGTGGATATGGGTTGAGTTGGTGAGGGGGCCGACCTAAAAAAAGGTGAATGTAATGTTTATAGTGCATTAACAGCTTTTTTTAGTGACACCTCGTGCATTTTTAAATTATTTACAGATATGAAAATGTTGCATGAAAAATTGCACAAAGTCAAATCGGATTAAGTTTTCAGGTAGCCTTGTGGCCTTTTGTTGAAACAATAAAGGCCTTTGTTTGTTGCTTTTTAGAGACCAAAATGGATAGTTTGGAATATCATTATAATCATAGAAAGTGTTCCAATGACACTAGGTAACATGATGGTAATAGAGAGGAAGCTATATTTAAATATAAACCAATGTACATGTGGTAACACTGAGTTTGAAAACCACGGTTACCGTAATGGCTTGCGAATAGTTGAAATTAAGGCAAGAGCAAGTAATTTTCATGGATTTATAATTTCAGGAAGCGTATTAATTTTCCCCTGATAGCGCAAAATAAAATATACATGGTATATTAACATGACATACTTCACACCCATCACTGTGCCACAAATGGACGGTTTCATCGAAGTAAACACAAGACGACTCAAACACAGTCAAGGAATAGTGGACAAATTCTTCCTTATCTACGTCCAAACCAGATCCAAACTGCACCCCTGTGATCATAAAAATTGTATCAGCGTCATTAGTGAAGTTTTGAAATAGTTCTTAGACTACTAAAACTATTCAGATGTGTTAGATGTAGTACCAACAGAACGGCGGCGCTTTTTCCCAGCTAAGCCACAACATAAAATGATATTACTGTACATGATTATCTTGCTGCCATTGGCTAAACAACTTCATTTCTTAAAAAAATATGACAATAACAATGACTATGACACCAAGCTGGTTTCCGGAAAACTATTATAGAACATCAAATAACATTCGAGGTATTTATCAACTGTTGAAAAATATACATTGCAACCTAAGCATGACAAACAAGATATAATTTATGTTTATACTTTGGTTATCATTATATGTGTGCAGCCTTTGATGTTCTCATTAATAACAGTATACTATTTTATTCAAAGTTATTGTTATAATTTAGTTATTACTGTAGTTCTTGGAGAATTTTTGTGCCTTTTTAAAGTCAAACAGGGATTACCTCTGATCTGTACACTTGCTGAATCAGATGTAACTGTAACCAGAATCATACATTCCCGGGGCAACTCTACGTTCTTGGATACATGGCAAACTACCTAAAACAGTTCTGGATACAGCAGTAGCACAGTTCTGGATACAATAGTAGCATTGTATTGCTACTAAACAGTAACAAAGATAAGATTTACAAGTAGATAGCGTTTACCGATGCAGAATTTTGTCAGGTTTCCGACATCATAGACAGTGATGTCAACCTCCTCTCTCGGCAGCAGCCATTGGTAGGGGTCAGAGGTCAAGTTCGTTCGATTTATCCATGGTACAGAGAACAACTGGTCCTTTTGAACAGGAAGGGTAGCTGTCCAGTTGAAGACGTCTTGTGATGGCACACCGCCCTTGCGAAGATACAGTGAGATGTCTTGAGGAAAACGGGTGGAGTTGAAGTCAAGGTGGAAGGTTAAGGTGGACTGCTCCTTCCCAACCAAAAACTGGAACACCTGATGTGTTATAAGGTACGATTCAATTTTCAACATTTAATGAACGAATGAAAACTTCTATAGTGGCAACCAATGTATTCATTGTATACTATATCCAATAGAAAGTAGACAGTATTAGCATTACTTATCATCATTTTTACTTTTTATTTTGTTATCGACATGTTCTTGCAATTAGCCCTCGGGTATGAATTATTTTGCAATAAACTTTCAGTATATTGTTGGACAGTATTTGAAAAAAAAAAAGCCTAAACGCTAGAAATTCCACAACTGACAGTAAAAGCACATTTAAATCCTATACCACATAGTCTGTATATTTCTCTTATCATAATTGTTGTGAATATATATTGCAATAGATGTCATGCATTGTTCCTTGCACAACAGTTGAGCAATAGGGTCTCATTCATGAGTTTTTTCGATACATTAGAAACCATGCATTAATGAGTGACTTATCAGACCGTGTTCCCTATGATCCTACATTAAATCAATTGATATCGTTCATGTTTAAGCACACTTACTCTACATCTCATAAAAAATTGCCAACGACTTGTATACACACAATTTACAAACTGCACTTAGCGACTGCCCGCAAGAGGCCCTCCCGCGCTGCAAACCTACGACCGCACAACTCACAACACTGGACTGTGCACGTCCGACCTAGCGCGCGGCTGCCGACAATTACATCCTAATTTTATCAGTTACAAACAAGCTTTCACCGCTTTGACGTTTTACATCAGTTGGGCTGGCTAAAGGGAAAATTCTCACCTATAAAAACACACGTTCATACAGCCGTTTAGTTCTTGACTTCAGTTGGTACTCTTTTAGGGAGTACACTCGGATTGATACATGAATGAGACCTTAAAGATTATATTACAACTTACTGTCAGGTTGCCAATTGGAGCCGACGTTTCAAACACGTAGATAGAACCATCAAGACTTTCATTCTTCCTACGGGTTAGAATGTCGATTGGTTGGCTGAGACCGGAAACCGGAAGTGTGCGGTTCCCACACTTCACCCCGAGACCCGTGACATCACTGCGTACCTCACGCGAGTTGTTGGAGTACTCGAAAGGGTTGAAATTCGACTCCAAAAACTGAAAACATTTCAACGATTGTAATAAATGAATATTTAATTCATTTCCAACTACATTCCAGCAATAAGTAGATTGCAATAAAATATCATAAAAGCACTAAACGTGACAACAATGCTCAAGCTTTTATGTTACAAATTTTTACAATTGGCACATGCTTGAAAGTGACATGGTCATTAAAATAGGGATTAGGCTATGTGTGGTCCCAAATAGTGCCCATCATATGTATGTTGGACAAGTGGTTGTCTTAGGCAAGTCCCCTTAATGCTAATATTTCTATGGGAAAAATTAGAACCACGAAAAAATGGTCGTCATGGCCAGATGATTGCTTTATAGAGGTGGTAACACGGGCAAGTTTGACACGCTTTTGGTACTTTACTACAGGGGATTCCCCTTATTAAATCGTTATTTTAAAGTCACAAAGATGAATTTGTACATCGATGTCATCATGTAATGTTCATGTTGAGTGGAGCCGGCGAACATGAGCTGTTTGGAGTATAATTTTATCGGCTCTAACGTTGAATAATGAAAATATCTTTAACAACCCTCATTATATTTCTGCTGTTGAAAGATTTTTGATATTTGTACTGTACCATGAATACAATTTTACAAATAAAGTTGCGGCATACGAGATTGTGAGTGCGTTGTTTGTCTTAGTGTATAATTTATGCTCGTTGCTACACCCCCCTCCCCTCCCCTTCGGGACGCCATTTAGTGCTATTCCGGCCTATCGTATAGGCCGGGTAACTGTATAAAATGCGCTGACAAATGGGCTATACAAATATGCGGAATCCTCTGTAGTATTGTTCTAGTGTGATTCATGGCAGTGTAGTAGAAAGTACGCATATCAGCACATCGGCAGAACGTACCTCACCTGTGCGAAACCTGCAATGTACTGTGAATAGCACTTGGGCAGAACGTCTCATATAACGTGACCGTCATATTTTCGCATGTAAGGTTAACACTCTGTCAGACTCTATAGCTTCCAAATGTTAAGTCGGGAAAAATAGCGTCATGCAACAGCCAAAGTCTAAATTAATGCAACGTTGCCCCAAAATTCAATGATATTCAGTATGTTCTGCTGACGGCCTATGCACATCTCGTCATGCACAGCTGGCGTGTTACACGGAATGTCGGTTATACCGGCTATACTGAATACAAATACATCATGGTAACTGAGTACCTGGATCCCCACATCCTGATCGTTCATACAACGACCGCCCAGTAGGTCCGGGAAGGAGGGCACTCTGACCAGACTGTCACTGTGTCCGTCTAACAGGTACACTCTCTCCGCCTGTCTCGTCCGGTTTTCCCGTTTGATCCTGAGGTGCAGCTGAAAGATGAACTGATTTCAGTCATGATGTCTTGGCTTGTCTAACTTTTGTTTCCTTTTGGACTCTCAAAAAATTGTATTCACTTAATTGCATATCAATAAATTGTCCGTATGTATAAACCTACTTTTCTGACAACTCTCCAGTGTCGCTGACCAAAGATATGCTACCTGAAATGTCTGACATTTTCCAAAATCATAGCCAGTTGCTTGATGTAACTGTTTTTGGTGATTTCAGTATAACATAACCGCATAACATATTTTCCCCCAAGGATGGCATTATTAGTGCTAAATTCTTTGCAAAGATTAGTGCTGTATCGTCTGGAATTTGGACTTTTGTAAACCATGACTCAACAAAAGCCTGTGGTCCAGAAATTACTGGAGTGTTACCTTTTGTTAATTTAAAAATATAAAACAGGACATCAACCAATTTCACAAATTAAAACTGGCTTGGATGTTACTACAACAAAAGACATGCTTTTAAAGAAAACAAGCAGACAAATGAGAGATACCTTGGATAAAGTAAAATCGGCATAGACTTCGGGATCTGAGAATTCCGGCATCAGCTTGTTGAGATAAATGTCATCCATAATGTCCAGGGCTTCGAAACATGTCGTTGTGGCTTCTTTATTCTACAAAGGAAGACAATGATGGCTGTATCTAGTTGCTAGTCCACCTGACCAGAGCAAGACGTAGTATGAAATATCAAAACATACATACATTGTGAACACTTTAAATTTACTTATTACCACACACTGACTAGAAAAGTAAGACTAAAGGAAAATATTGCTTACATAGGCTAGACTGGAGGAGAAAGTCTTGCCACTTTGCTGTTTCTTTTCAGCCATAGTGCTTGAGGCTGACAACACATTCGCAGAACCTGGACAGGATCGGTACAAAATAATATCTTATTTTCACATTTTCAAAAAACTGTGTGTGTGTGTGTGTGTGTGTGTGTGTGTGTGTGTGTGTGTGTGTGTGTGTGTGTGTGTGAATATTAAGCTAAGTGATCTTGATCCACCTTAGCTCACTAAAGAGCTTTTACTACATGTAGTAGTAGGTCTCCCACTGGTCATGATGCTGTGAAGACAGATCATGTTGTGTACAAACTTTAGAAGCTCTTTTCGACAAGCACAATGAACAGTGGACCACAGCTTAGGGACTGTAACAATATCCAGTACTTTGTGTGTGTGTGTGTACGTGTGTGTGTGCCTGCATGTGTGCATGCCTGTGCAACTACATGTATCACAATATACTACTATTATAGTGTACACATATACTTAATTTTAATGCAAAACACTCAATAAACAACACTGACCTGCCATCATCACAGTTGACATTTTGTGGACAACTTCCACCGGTGTTTCCTCCAGGTTTTCTGCAAGTTGCCTGGTTTTGTTGAATGCTTGTTTCATGTAGGTAGCAGCCAAAACCTAAGGAAAAATCTCTATTTTAAAACCATGTAATATAGTGCTATCAACTTGTCAGTACATGTATGTAGTGTCTTGATGATCTACAAATTCTTCCACAAGTTAAAAGGGGTTCAAACCTCCTTGTAAGACCACCTCAATCCCGACGTACATCCCAATGTACTAAAGGTAACTGACAATATTTTCCCATTTTGACTAATTTGCATCAACTTGTCTTGACTTGTCTAACTTTCTTTTCCTTTTTTTCCTTCCAAAAAATCGCATTGCTCCTCTGACCTCTCATGCAGTCACTGACATAGTAGTGGATGCTACCTGAAACGTCTGTTTCCAAAATCATATCCAGTTGCTTGAGTAACTGATTTTTTTAGAATTCTCCTTTGAGACAAAGTTCTTAAAGACAACTAATTACCTTGAACTCTTCTAGAGAAAATGGACCCCTGATGCGTAAAGTACACAGTACTTATGAGTAAGACAGAGTCTGACGTACCTGGGATTTTGCAGATACCATTTCAGGAATCCCTGTGGCCAGAAGGGTGGAGATGGACACACCATTGATGCTATCAACGTCATCTATCACCACATTTGAGAGCCCTTCCATTATTTTATCAACAACCTAAAAAAAGATTAAAAACAATATTTCATTTGCTATGGTAGAGAATTACTACTGTTTAGCTGATTTATTACTATTTTAATGACGAATAAAAGACTTTTTGGTTGTTACACTGTGTTCTTTATTCAATTGTTTCCTAACATTAAATGTGGTATTTCCTTAGTATATTCTAAATCTAGGAATTTTGTTTCTTTGGCCCCTCGTATTTTTATTGCGCTTTCGCGTCTCCAGCGGACGTAATCCATAAAATTACTTGGTGTGGCCTTAGGGAATGACCTGACCCATGTCCAACCTTTCCCCCTCCCACTGAGGTTATCTGATCCCAAGGCCAGCTGTCACTGACTACTCTTCAAGTAGAGGCTGTTGGGGAAGATTGTTACCTTTAAACACAAAAGTTTCACTGCAGCAACGTAGGGACAACCCACGAGGCCCAATTCCAAACTTAACCTTTATCTCTACAACGGTAGTGTGCCTACCAAAAATCTTGAACAGCCATTTACATATACTTGAGTTGTTCTCCTAATAAGCGACAAACACAAAAGGTCCACTGCAGTGAGGTAGGGACCCCATAGAGCCCATTTTTGCACTTCCGGTTGAACCCACTTTTTGCCTGCCAAAAGTCATAAACATCGATCCATGCCTTCAAGAGTTATACTGCTAAATCCACAGTCTCAAACACTAAAGCAGACTGATTTTATAACCTTCACATAAAGGCACCTACCTGTATTATGCATAATGCCATACAGTGTATTGAATAGATAGATATACATAGAAAGATTATAAATAAATGGATAGATAGATACTAGATAGATAGAGGATATCTAATGTTACTACTTGATAAGACAGACAGCTAGATAGTACAAGTACATCAACTGTATTTTCTCCTCTATAGGCCAAAGCTCCAGCCACAGCCGAGGCAAATATGAAGCCATTAAATGCCGTCTGTGTGTCTCCCTGGGCGAGCAGTTGGAAGAAGTCTCCGCCCGGATAAGGGAAGAAGTTTTCCATGTAATCCTGAAGCTGAGACATTGTCGGTGGATGTATCTGCAGTAAGTAATGAGAATCATACCTTTAAGACTTCAAGGAAGTATTTGTAGTTTTTCCAAGGACATTTTCCAAGGACGTTCTATTAGCCTCTACCGGGCTTCGGGAGGCGGCTGGAAAGAGTAGAAATCAGCCAAAAAGGGAGATGGCATGCCAAGGGTGTTGGTCGGCTGGAGAGAACAGTTTGCCACACCCATTCGGGTGCGGCATAGTCAGCCGCCTCCCGAAGCCTGGTAGGGGCTAACATTCTATATTTTTTCTTAATCCAGAAGCTGAGACATTGTCGGTGGACGTATCTACAATGAGTAACGAGAATCGGAAATTTCAGACTTTCGGGAAGCATTTTTAGGTTTTCTTTAATATTGAAATAAGCATGGAGACTGTATTTTATGTACTCTGGTTAGAACTATGCAGGTTTGCTCATGCAACTCGGCTTCCTAAATTCGTTGATATTTGGACTTTCATATTCTCCTGGCTCCCAGCCAGATTTTGGGTTTTAGCTGACCCCAATACCTCTTTCGTTTTGCCTGCCTGTCATTCTGCCTTTGACAGTCACTTACCTACGTAGCTACGTGCTGTTATCAAACTTTGTCTGGACACACATACACACAAACCCATGCATATATTAGACAAACCCACCCAAAACAATACTTCCAGGTAAGTTATAAGATTTAGAATACCCACTTCCATTGGTGGCAGATCAAACTCAGTATAGCGCCCGTCCACTGACGTAGCGCGAAGAGTCAACAGCAGGTAGCCGGTAGCCAGGTCAACCAAGGGTATGTAAGGAACCTGTCAGTAGAAAATGTATCACCAAAGTCTGACCAGCGTTACGTTAAAACTTTAATCTAGCAACAACACTCAGTATATTTACAGACAGTTGAAGACAGTATAAATTTTCAAACCTCAGACAGAAATAAACAGTCACACGTGCACGCACAAACACGCACACACACATGCACACACACACATATACACACATGCGCATGCACACACACACACACACACAGGCTTGTATGTATATACACATATATTATATGTATATACATACACAAATTACAAAAGAGAGAATGTATTGTAACACATAGCAACGCTTAACGTACAACGTATCATGTCATTACACACACACACACACACACACACACACACAGTACACAGACACACGCACGCACACACACACACACACACACACACACACACACACACACACACACACACACACACAGAGGCATGTATATATTTACACATATATGTACACACACACGCACACAATGGGTAACACTCCGATTTACCCATTGTGTAGATGCTGTCATGAAGATCCTGTTGTCCGTAGGAGGACCGTCTCCAGGAAATGCTGCCGTGGCCATCTCTACCCCCACTGGGATGAACTGGAAACTCATGGTTACCTCCACTGGGCCCAGGACATCATCAAACTCTATGTTGAAAGAATGACATGTGAATTAAACCTCATTCAAATGGAAACCTCACCCTGGAAATATTCCGATGTAACTTTTACTGCGATGGGTATGAGCTAAAGACTAAAACTTCTGCACTGCTGCACTGGGCCAAGGATATCAGTAAGGACACTCAGGGTTCTAGCTAGTGCAAAGTAGTGTAGGGGCCCCCTACACTATAATTTTGACCCCCTACGCTAAATTTTCAATACAGCATAGGGGCATTTCTTTGTTTAAGAATGCCAGATCAAATGTGAAAAATTACCAATCAAGGATACATTGTACATACCTTAGAAATAACATTTTTTCCCTTTTGGTATACCTCAAATGGACCCTTTTTAGTTCAATTTTTTAAACGCTCCGCCCCATCCCCCTTCGGGTCGCTTCGTCACTTGACATGCGGCCAGTACCACTACTCTAAAATTAAAAAAAATAGCTAGAACCCTGACACTGGATATAAAAAAATTATTAATGATATATAGTAAAAGGCTTCCGATTCAGGAACAAATGTTTAATCCTGACTTTCTGCCAGATTTCCATAAGGTTCACGACAGAGCCAATCGTCTAAAGCAACTTTTTCTGCCTCGAAAGACAACTTTTCTTACAATTTCTCTCAATCTGCTACAATCGTAAATCTATTGTAACAGTTACGAAGAATGAGACTGGATCTGTAACCAGCATTTCATGTCTTTTGTCATCAGGGACGTCCCTCGGATAGGACGTTAAATTGAGGTCCCGTGTTTGGGGAGAGCCACACCCCACGCACGTTAAAGATCCCACCACACCTTTCGAAAAAGAGTAGGGGCATGCCCCGGTGTGCGATGGTACAAACACTACTGTATGGAGTTGGTGATTCACTTCAAATCACCCGAATGGAGGCCTGGCGAACCTCTGTTCCGTATCAGCCACATGGTGATTACATCACCACACATGGTGATTACATCATCACCCGGACGGAGGCGTGGCGAACCCCGTCTTGTATTAAGCTAACGAAAGGGTATGCCACCTCGTAAGGGGCGGTATAACCCCGACCAATACGGTCGACCGACGATGATGTCATCATCAACTGGGGATTTTCAAATAGCTACAAGTGAGCATGTCAGCAGAATGCAATGCACCTGAGCGACACCCTGCTCATTTTTTTCATGGATGTTTGTTCACCGTTTCATCAGGATTTTGCCTGTTGCAGAATGACATCTTTTCCAACACAACACTTGGAAACTCAGACAGACAGGATGTTAACCTTATATTACGTAAATTCAACCTTGCACAATGCATTACAGACTTTGCACAGGTGCAGCACATGTATGTTCTGCCAAAGTGCTCTACTAGTGCAACGTGGCTTCACTAAAGGTTCATGATTAGCCAAGCACACTGTGCCATCCCTACTGTAATCTTACCGACACACTTGGCGCAGAACTTGTCGATCAGGGAGACTCCTTCCGAAGGCATGATTGTACAGGCATCTGCCAGGCTACTGGTCTCTGATGACTCATCTGAACTTGCTCCCAACACTGCCTCCGGTGTGGGCAAGACGTTAAAGCGCCACTCAGCGATCCTGGTCAAATCTGCATCCGCAGTGACATGGTGATCGGTAAGCCGTATGGTGTAAAACCCTTCAGCCTGGAAATGTAATTTAATGCCGTGTTCATAGTTGAGCAGTTTTGTTTGTCTCTAAGTAATCTCATGTATTTATTTTTGTATACTTTGGTTACCTGCGTTATTTATGTTTTACATACAGTTCTTTGTTATTTCTGTTTAAGTATTAACTTATCTTTTATCATTTCTGTAAACTGGACCCCATTGAAAATCAACTTGTCAAAGCTGAGTGGGCTACCCAGGTGTGTTAAAATGAAATAAATAAAAAATAAATAAATAAATAAATAAATGAGAAAGTTAAAAAAACAGCCGTCCAAAAGAAGCATTTTAAGAATCAGCTAAAGGAAACAAAATGTCAAATGGGGCTTTCTAAAATATCATGATGACAATCTTCATTAACTTAAATATACTGGGCCACACCAATTTGATTTGTTGGTTCTAGGATTTTTTCAGAAAAAATGTAATAAAGCGACAAGGAGAATAAACAGACCTAGTCATGAGTTTAAAAACGTGATATTTTATTTGCAAATCAGAAAAAAAATCCGAGAACCAATTAATCAAATTGGTGTGGCTTAGATATAAAAGTTTATCCATCTTTTTCACACTTTTTACACTAGAGGATATGAACGACTAAAATTGCTTTAATCAAACTGTATAATGTATCCAAAGAGAATTAAGATGATGGGAAAACTGTACTTCTTACCCAGAAAGTCCCAGCTAGTACTCGTAGTCGAGTGTCATCAGATATTTCACTGTCTATGCCGGAGGTCCAGTCCTGGTCCAGAAAACCTGTCGGGAATTCTTCCAGGGAAAATTCTGTCGTTCCGAATATTTCTGACTCTGTGTACAGTTCTAAAGCCTCTGTAGACGCAATGTTGGATGGATTGCAGTTTGCTTCAGATCCTAGATTTTCACATCTAAAGAAATGTCAATAACCGACAGTTACAACCAATATGTTTATAAATATTCAATTGGTTCAACAAGAATCAATGGGTCTTCAATAAACAATAGGTCTATCAATAAACAATATATTCATCAATAATCAACAGGCTCATCAATAACCAGTTCATTCCTTAATAATAGGTTCATCAATTCACTTATCAATAATTAATAGGCTTTTTAGTAACCAATACGTTAATGATTTTTGTTCATCATTAACCAGTAGCTTTAATATATTATTAATATCACTGGTTTTAGACCCCATGTGGTGAGATAGGTATGCCTTACTGTAGACTCAGTTCTCCCAGTGAGTCATCTGGCACAACGTGAAGGATTGTGTGAAGCGTTACTGGAGGGAAGTTGCCGACCGTGATCTCTACACTGAGGTTGACGATGAGGCCGAGAGGGCGAACACTGGTAGGAGACTGGAATGCCAGAACTCCAGATTGAGACCCCTCGACCGGAGACCCCAGCATCACAGAAGTTTCTATAGATTCTGTACATATTAGGGGGAGGATACAAAACACAGGACATTCAGCTGCAGCATGAATGAATTTTTAGTGTGAAAACTTGCATCCATATGAAAAGCACTGCACAAAGCCAAGACAATTTAGAGAGCAGAACACAATTATTTAACGGGCAGATGCTAATATCTTTATAAGTACGCATTGTGCTAAACAAAGGACTGTCTCCTAGGGGTGTCCCTACCTAACGTGTGAAGAGACTATGGAAATAAAATGTCCACCTTGAGTTATTTCGATGTCGTTTCTCAGTAACTATGCCTACTATTGAAGTCACACTGTTACACCATTAGGGCCTGGTCATGCCCTCCCGACTGGCCTTTGTAAAGCAATGTCTAAATCATGTCTAATGTCCGCTAGACGTTTTATAGACAGCTATTGAAGCGGGACTGTAGCCGCTATGCATCAGACCATGATGCCCGCGGAGGATTGATTGATTGATTGATTGATTGATTGATTGATTGATTGATTGATTGATTGATTGATTGATTGAAGTCACACTGTTACACCATAAGGCCCTGGTCACATTCGTTGTACGATCATCATATGATCGCAGTCTTAGATAATTCTTGGGATAGTTGTACAATATTCTGCTGTCTTGTTACGGAAAAGGCTGCCTTATATCTTTGTCAGCTGTTGGTTCTGTTACATCCTGCTTGGAAATTCTACCACATCAAAATCGCACAGCCTTTACAAACTCTCAGAATAATGTTATAGAAAAATGTTATGCTTTCCATGTCAAAACCCATTGTAATGTCTAATGTCTTTGTAGGAAGCCTGTCTTTTGCCACAGACAAATTGGGCTGCCCTGGCTGTGTGTGTTGAACTGCCTATTAACAATTATAAACAGACACTAAAACCAAAAGAACTGTTCTTACCATCACTTGTGTACACTTGAACCTCACACAGCTGCAGAGTCCGGCTGGAGCCGGGAAGGCGAACACCGACAAATTGCGCCATCACGCCGGAGATGGCGATAGTCAT